CAAGATACGTCTATTCCATCCAACATGATCTCGTCTACTATCAACAAGAGATTAAGGGTGATCAGTTCCTTAATTTGTCAATAGATAGTCGACAATCATGATGGGGCATAAGTCATCTTTACCAAATTAAAATAGAGTTTAACGACACACTGAGCCACCACTCCACACTTGAAGCATCTTGGAGAAGTAAAAGCTTCTCCCTCACTTGTTTCAATCCCACTCATGCAGACAATGGTTAGAAAAACAAACATGTATCGACAATGTTTTCACACACATGTCGCATACTAGGGAACAAACAACATTAGACAACCTGGGCAGATGGACTGACCTGCTCTGATACCACTAATGTAACACCCTTATAAACCCTACGCATTAAATAGAAATAATCAGAATGAATTATCATGCATCTTACAAAAGGGTGTCACATATAATTTTAAAACATCATGCAAACACCTGTCATGCTTAATAACACTTAAAATAAATTCATGTTTTTCGTACACTTTCACATTAGCATGTAGCAACAGATTTTCTTCATCATATTAGAAATAATGAAAATCTCATGCTCATCCCATTCATAATCAATACTTAGGCATAAAAGCCAATACTTTACATAATTTAAATAAACATAACAACATAGAATAGAGTACATAATGTATTTCTCAAACATAAACCTAAATCTCCCTAGTGTTACATGACCAGAGTACGACTTGACCCAACATAAATAAAGAAACTAAACCAGTTACTCCAATGTCTACCTCTCGCTACGAGCAACTCTAATCCTCGATAACTGAGCGATGTCATACAAAACATCATTCCAACAAAAGGGTGAGAATTCACATAATTTTTGAAATCATAAGATATATATATATATATATATATATATATATATATATATATATATATATATATATATATATATATATATATATATATATATATATATATATATATATATATATATATATATATATATATATATATATATATATATATATATATATATATATATATATATATATATATATATATATATATATATATATATATATATATATATATATATATATATATATATATATATATATATATATATATAATTTAGGGTACACAATCACAATCACAATTATTCTCACACTTCAAAATTTTCATCAACAAAGTATCACTCAAGTAACCATACCATTCACAAGTATATACACACAATCCATTATTTCACCAATTCAACAATTCACATAAATACACATAATCTCATATTGCAGCCAAAGACACCATGCAACTCAATGCAACTAGCCATTTGGTTCATATAGAACCCATCAATTCCAATTCGGAATTATGGATACATCACTTATACCCCACTAGGAAACATCTTAGTCATTCTACCCCAGTGAGTACCCCACTAGGAATGACATCTTAGTCATTCTACCCCAGTGCGTACGACTATATCACTTATATCTCACTGGAAACGACATCTCAGTCATTCTACCCCAATGAGTACGAGTCTTGTCCATGTCTTATGTAATACAAACCATGATAACTGAATTATGATAAACATATGCGTACGCACACAATTCAACACAATGAATTACTTACCACACAATTACACATACTTGCACATTTTTATGAATCATCCACACACAATTCACTTTCAAATGGTATACAACATATTTTACAATATAATAACAATTATATTATCATTACAACAAGCAATAAATATCATGAATTTCATGTTTTCACACACAAAATATACTTATACAAGCACACACACAAGTATTTGATAAATTATCCACAATAATTTCACAACCGGTAGCAAATAGTGCAATAATTCATTAATAGAACATATACACAATTGACTTCCCAAAAATATTATATATAAAAATATTGGGTAACCATTTCTCTTATCTATACTAAGATATAGGTCTATTCATTAGCCTTTTGACGCTTCGAACAGGGACCAAAACGGACTTACGAATCAAAAGTTATGGCCAAAATCGTAGAAACGAAAATTTTACCAATACACAACATGTGTCTACCGCTAGCGACAGAATAAGTCGAGGCATTGAAGGCAGAAACAAATCCAGAATATGCATTCACTATGCATTGACCGCTGCGACGGATACACCGACGCAAACAGTACAATATGCAGAATTTTTTGTGTATTTCACTGTTGGAGGCCTTCCGGACCTCCGATTTCAATTCCGTAAAAAGCCTCAGTTCCAGAATTCAAAATACTACCATTATATGACAGTTAGAATAGCTCACAACACATATTTAAGGATCCTACCATCGTACATCATGTAATCATCAATTTCAAAACTATGGAAATTATGGATTTCTATCTTAAATATGATACTACCCATCACACACTATCATACAATTTCAATAGGCATATAAAAACTCACTCTTACCTTGGTTTTTAAATGATTCTTAAGTTCTTCTCTTCTTCTCCACTCCTCTTTCTCTCTTGCCTCTTTCTTCCTCTTTACTAACTTTTTCTCTCTTTCTATTCTTTTGTTAAACCCTAACATTGTCTTAATCAATTGGACTTAACTCAACTCACTCCCACTTACTATTCACACACCTAATTAAGTCAAACTAAATAATATAACAATTCTACATTATTCTACCAAATAGAATAAATAAATAAATTTAATTAATTCAATAAATCACATATTTAGATTAAATCAATTAGATTAATTAACTCATATAAATTAAATAAGTCAATTAATTTATATAAACCCAATAATTAATATAAATCAAACAATTCATATAAATTCAATAAATCAAATAATTCAAATAAGTCGAATAAATCACATAAATTAATTCAAATAAATCACATAATTCAATTAAATCCATTAAATCAAATAGGCACAAAATTACACAACTAATCAATTAATTTAATAAATAAATAATTAATAAAATTGGGGTGTTATAGGCTCCACCAACGTAACCCTTTTCAGGGATAACTCATCAACTTTAAAAGGCTCCACTGGTTTAAGTCAAGAAACTACATCCAATCGACACTTGTACTCCATATGTCCCTTGATGTCGATATCACTGAGGTCTTGATTGTAAGTTCTCTAAAAAACCTGAATGTAATATCCATCACATTATCTCTTCAGTTTAGCCGCATGCATTTCCAAGGCTAACAAAACAGGATAAACTAGAACTTTTGTCGCACAAAAAGCAAAGGGCATGAAAACAACCATATGTTCTTCCTCAACATCGTAATCAGACAATTGAACATTGAAAGAAGAATCCCTAGAGGAAGTTTTTTCCTTTTAGGAGCCCACATAAAATCTTTCTAAATCAGAAGCATTAATTATGGATATAACCTTGGGGACTAGGCGATCATAGACAAATAAAGAATGGTTTAAACTATGATATACTCTTGTTCTTGCAGCATGATAGCTTCACTCTTAGAACTGCTAGCCAAGCTAATAAGAATATAACTCATTTTGATCAAAGTTCTAGAAATACTAAAGGTATTAAAAGATGAAATGAGGAGGGTACATGATAAGGCAAAATTGACTAAAGTAATAGTAATAAGGATAAAAGGAAGCTTCGAGCAAGGAACCACAACTACTCTGGTAATAGTCTAGAGAAGGAAGAGTAGAAGACAATTGCAAATATAAATTGACTCTGAAGGATTGCAAAAAGTTTCATCAACATTCAACAACAAAAACACACGCATGTACACATATGCACGCACACGCGCACGCGCACGCACAGACTCACACACACACACACACACACACACACACACACACACACACATACACACACACACACACGCACACGTGCACACACACACACATGCGAATGCAAGCAAAAAGCTACATCAATCAAAGTGAGAAGTTACAAAATTAACAGTTGTATTCTTCCTTGGAAATATAAACTCAAGTGCACTATAAGTAACGTCATGTCCAAACTAGTCACCTAAAGCCACGAGACAGAAAGAAGCATCGAAATGTTTCAATGATGAAAAGACATTTGATGCGCCTGACCTCTATTTTTTTAATTGACTCCAAGCATTTTCACTTCTGATTCAAAGCGAACGACATCCTTAGAGGCAAACCACGACTTCTAAGATTTCCTTGGCTCAAATCCGTCCAGAAAACCTTTGGGAATTTGTTCTTGGATGGCCAAATGCCCAAAAATCTTAGGCACAAAGCAACGCCAATCCACTCTAAATAACCTAAGATACAAAAGCCATTACACGAGATATTCAAGGTTCACTTTTTTATCTCCTCTTTTCACTACACTCATCTTGAATTTCGAACAAATTTAGGCATTAGAGTGATAACTTGCATGTTCATCCCCTCCACTGTATCTGATATTAACACCACTTATTCAAGATTTCTTATCGTCAACGTGCACCTAATTCTAATTTTAGAACAAAACAATTATTTTTCACATGTAAAAAGCTATTAACACATTATAATCATTCATATATTTAATTTTAACAATAGTTATAATACAAATAAATAGATCTAATAGTTGTAAAAGATTAAAGATAGTGCACTGATTTTACATTATCATTTAATAGATATTCATTATTGAGTAATGTCATAGAATTAATTTAAAAATGTTAAGATAATTTGATCGAAAACATGATGTTAATTGAATGTCAATTGATTGATAGTGTAAAATTGTTTTATACCATTTCTTTTTTAATACATTAAATATAATAAAAATATAAAATTAAATGTTTTAATACAAATTTATTATAAATAAATTTTTTTAATATGCCCTTAAAACGCATTTTAACCTTACCGTATAATTTCAATAATTAAAAAAAAAAAAAGTCTACCTCAAGTAAAATGACACGGCTTCTACGTACCATATTATTATACTATCACGTTGTTGGCACGTGACTGACCAAAACTTACTCGGAGATAGTACATAAACCCCCACAACACGCATCTTGAAGCAAATGCGTAATTGAAGAGTTTTCGATTGCAAAAAGAAAAGTAGCGAAGAAACAGATTTGATAGCATAGCAAAATGGCACTAGCCAAGGCGAAGGAGATCGTAGCTTCCAACCCCGTCGTCGTTTTCAGGTCAATTTCATTTCTCATTCAATTTTTTTTCTATCGATTCATTGTTTCTAACAACGCTCGATTTCGATTTTTTTTCCAGCAAAACCTATTGCCCTTTCTGTGTCGAAGTCAAGAAGCTCTTCGCTAATTTGGGCGTCACTTTCAAAGCCATTGAACTCGAAACTGAAAGTGCGTCCTTTGCTTTCTTTCCCATCCATTTATTCATTTATTATTCCTTTTGCGATTTCTTTTATTATATTTAGGGTTTTTGATTTTTACTTGTTGGATTGTTCTCAATTATAATTGTTTATTTAGTTTCATATAAACAACTTATTTGCAATTTGTAGTACTAGTCCTTATCAAAATAAGTGCTTATGTATAAGCTATTTCTTTAGCAAAAGATAAAATTAAATTGTTTTTATATATGATAGATTATTTTAATGAGCTATGCTGGAGAACTTATGAAAATGAGTTGAAAAAAGCTTTATGAAAATTGTTACAAGATGTTTTCATATATTCTTTTGAACAGTTTCATAAAACTTATGCAAGTAGTTATGCTGACGTAAGCTGATTCAAACAGGCCTTTATTGGTTAACTCACTTTTATGTAAATGTATTCAAACATAAGTCACTTTGTATTCAATTAACTTTTAATCAAAGTCATTTTTATAAATCAATTTTCACTGACACACTTGTGAACATTAGGTTGCACCAATTACAGTTTTCTCCTTGCAAGGTGACTGAAAATCAGGGCATTGTGTTCTGCATTAAGTATCATATATTGTTGTTTAGGGATCAAGAATCATTTGATATTGGTGCGGTTCTTCTTTTAACTACTACGAATGTACTACTTGGTGGCTTTGTATTGTGCTCATTTTTTAGACACTTCATTGGTTTTTTATTCTGTTTTTGACGCTTAACCTTTTTCTTGCACAACTTAGTTGTGTATGTTTTGTTACTGGAAATGGTATTTTTAGCATTGTCTATAGTCCTCCCCTCAATAGAGGGTTCATGTTTGTTTTCACTTAACTGCTGGATTCTAAACAGTGATCTATTTAGCCCTGCTGGATCAGGGGTTGAGTTTCGCATAATTTTTTTATTTGCTCCATAGTTGTTTTCACTTAGTCACATGGGAGTCTATGCATAAAATGTGCAGACTTCACAAGTAATTGGATTTCCTTGTGTTAATCTAATGGTTCTAGCCTCCTATATTTTATGGCTCGTGTTTATTCTTTCACAAGTTCTCTGCGTGTTTTATTTGTGAAAACTAAGTGAATTAACTGAAGTGGTTGAACATTATGCAGCTGATGGAAGTGAGATCCAAGCAGCATTAGCTCAGTGGACTGGTCAGAGGACTGTGCCAAATGTTTTTGTTGGGGGTAACCACATTGGCGGCTGTGACAGTAAGATTTAGACATTTAATAACTCTACACAACTTTCTTAATCATTGAGTTTCATTTCATATAATTTATTGAATTGTTTTCTTGTTGCTTCTGTTTTTATGCAGCAACAACCAACTTGCACAGCCAGGGTAAGCTGGTACCCCTGTTGACATCTGCTGGAGCTCTTTCTGGGTCAGCTTCATAAAGAGGAGTTCAAATTCTGGTTACATAGTGTAATAAAAATACTCGAATTAAGAGTAGATGAACTTAATACCCTGAAACTTGTGATTGTAATGAACTTAATACCCTGAAACTTGTGATTGTAATGAACTTAATACCCTGTTATTTATTCTCTTTAAAGTTGTACTTTAAAGTACAACTCCATTAAATAAGTCTATTGAATTTTGGTTATTGACAACAGATATACTGTCGTATAAATTCATCTCAAACTGTTTCAATTAGGAATGTTAACTAGATCTGTACCAATTAAGAGATTTTATTACTTGGGCTCCAGTAAGTATGTTAATGAGAAGTGCCAAGCCTGGAGTACACAACTTAAGAAGTTTTCATTTCTGATTGAACCTTACGGAGTTTGCCATGGGCATGGGCATGAGCATGGTTTGGTTAGGCAAAAAACTGAACTGGAAAACAGTTCGTGCAAACTCGGTTGGTTCTCTCTCTATTTAAGTGCAATATGGTTTTAATTGCTGAACTTGGCTGCTTCTGCTTCTGTTACTAATTGTGTTTTAAACTAATTTTAAAATGCGGAATGTTCTTTCCACCCTTATATTTGGATGAAATTGTTAGAAATTTTTATCATGTTAAAATTTAATTTGCATAAAAGGGTAATCTAAAGAAGTATTTGTGAGATTTTTGAGAGATGCTGAACAGTTACAAAATAAAAAAAAAACATAAATTGACAGCAAAATAAATATTACATAAATAATAGTTAATGTTAACATAAATTTAATATTACACGTCATTAGATAATTGTTAATGTTAATATAAATTTAACATTGCACGTTATTACAATCGAGTGGTTTAGGACATTGCAACATTCTTTTAATATTTTTGGTACATTGCACGTTATTACAAACGAGTAGTTTAGGACATTGCAACATTCTTTTAATATTTTCGGTACATTGCACGTTATTACAAACGAGTGTTTTAGGACATTGCAACATTCTTTTAATATCTTCGGTTGATGCTGCAATCTCACATTAACTTCTATTAGATTCTTTGTTAAGTAATGGTAGAAGATATTCCACGTAACCTTTAAATTAGCATCCATCTTTAGATCAAACATGGTGAAACATATTTCTTTCATTGTCAATCGAGGGGGAACAATATTAAAGTTTGAAAAATCTTTGATTTTTTGGATATCGCTGGAGAGTATTCAATTTGGATTTCACATCAACGAGAAATATGTCCTCGAAGACGCAAAATTGAAGTGAGAATTTTATGCTTTTGAAATACACAAATGTTTAGATATAGAAGTTGTAGATCAATAAGTACCTTACAAACCCTATCATATCATCAAGGGGCTTTATGGGTTTGCACATCCGTATGGTCTCATGTTTCGATTTTTTTATAATTTAAATGTGCGTCCGGATATGCATTTCTGGATACACCCTATTTTTTTTCCAGAAATAAAGGGATTTTCGGAGATGTACATCCGTAAAGTCACATGCATTATTTTTTATAAGTAAAAGGTGTGTCCGGATATGCATCTCCGGACCCACCCAACCCAATCCAATGTTCACACATAACCAATGTATTATGCAGTACAAAAATTAGAAGCACAAAAATTATCCAAAAACTACCACCAAATTTAAAACATTATGCAGTGCAATACATACAAAAAATGAGTTACATTGTTAGATTAAAAGTATAATGCATTAAAAGATATGTAACTACTTAAATTTATTGGTGGTTCCTTCTTTGACCTTTTCTTATTTGTTTGCCTTTCAATGTCGCTCAACTTGGTGAACTCTTCCATCCTTTCTAAAAAGTGATGCGACAAGTTTCAGCTTCTTGTGTGAAATGTGTCGTCCACTCCAGTGATGTTTTTGGTATAAAATATCACATTTTCAAATAAACCTGAACAAAATTTTATTTTTTTGATAGCCAACTAATATACATGATGCGTTCTGATAGATTTTGAGGTGGCTTACTCCAAAGTGAAAATAATGTTTTCGAGAAACCATGTCGTGTTAAATCAATACACACCTTATCATAAGAACTTGCTATAAGATGTTTCATTTTTAGGAAGCGCATCATTTATCAAACTGTGCATGACCACTAAGACAAGGAACAAGAGCATTGAGAATTGCACCCTAATTTTCTTTGTTCCCATATAACTTTGTGTATGATTCTCTGTGTACCGTCATCTCTTGTATACGATGACGACATGAAAATTGGTAGTCGTCATCTCCTTTACCAAATAAACCCGAAACAACTTGAAAACCACAATTTTTGTCACCTTTAACATTTACAATCCACTCAATGTATTTGTGCATAAAAAGCAACATATCTTCAATGTGTTTGATTTTTGGTAACAACAGTGGAGGAGATGGTTTGCTGATGCAAACACCCTTGAAAACACTTTTTTTATTTTTTTTATTTTGGAGTCAGAGATTCCGAAAAATGTTAGTCAACATGTTCATAGTATGAAAAAGAACACTGCGAGGAGTTGTCACTTTGTGTCAATTTGACCTTTTTAGGGGCACCCTTTGTTTTAACCGGTTTCGACCGTGGTTTTATATCTCTTGCTTATGGACAAACAATCTTCCTCAGTTGCTATTTGATATGCAATTTCATGATGTCATAAGCTTTCATGAATCTCTCTTGGATCACTTCCCACTCGATCATGATAGATATGTTTTATTTATCATCCTTCATCACACCATTATCATCAAAACAATGCCTTTTTCAGTGAGTGCAAACTTCATTCATACATAGGTTTTTCAAACTCTATCTTCTTTGAAATTGAAGAAGCACATGGAAGACCGTACGTATTCCTAAGTGTACAACTACACTTTGATATATCTGAACATGTTTTATCTGCTCGCTTGACTTCATAAAAAATAAAGTTCAATGTCGTCCGAGATACGATGCCAACCAATTGTGAATAAAGGATGTTGTCTTTGAATCAATGTTCTAGCAAAGTAATGCTCCAACCAAACGATGTATGTATCTCATTATGTTGGTTTCAAAGCATTTGGTTCACAACGTCACAATCTCGACAAAAATCACCTTTACTATTTCCCAGCTAATTCTTCAGTCTATGATGTGCAGATTCAACTTTGTTAGTTGTTGTATTGCCAAATTATCGAACCTGGTCGGTCCAGGCACAAATAATATTCTCTTTAACGTGATCTAAAATAGTTTCCTTAACATGTTTTAGAAAATCTAAATATCTCGTACACACGCACCTAATGCACGTACGCACACACCTACGCACGTGTGCAGGCACACACACTCACCCACTCACTCACTATCTTGAAACATATTACAAATTTAACATATAATTCTTTTATGGAAGAATTTATTGTACCATTCCATGCATCCATTATATTTTCCACTACCACACCAGGTTTGACCATTTTTCCATCTTCAAGTTTGACTTGTTTGGTGCGCACCGCAGGTTTTACTTGACTTCTCACATTTTTGGCTATGTGATACTTACAAAGTAATGCAGACGATGTAGGAAACACCGTTGCAACCAAATTCATCAATGCGGTGTCATGATCAGTGATTATTACTTGTGGCACATTTTCTTAGTCCATCAACATAGTATTTCACATTTTTAAAGACCATATAACACTATCCTCTTTTTCGGACTCCAAAAATGCAAAATCGACTAAAAAAGTCATCACTGTAGAAGTAACACCAACAATTTCCAGGAATGGAAGTCTATACTTGTTTGTTCAGTATGATGAATCAATTATGAGCATTGTGGGAAAAGTGTTCAACAACTTGACGGAATCAGGATGACTCTAAAATATATCTCGGAGTGTGACTTTAACCTCACAAACTCTGTGTGTAGAAACATATGTGCCATCTTCCAAAAGTTTCAATAGTTGTTATATTTCAGATCTTGGTTCTCTTACCGCCTTGTTGTTTTGAGCACACACGTTCTATATTTGCTTAATATTTGAAACATTTAAAGGTCTTTTTTGTTTCTTTCAAAGATGCGAGTATGTTTTTTTGATGCAACTGTGTTTAGTGTCATGTCTGAGACAAGCTCCCTCTTCTCTGGTAAAGGCGACATATAATGGTATGACCGACTATCTTGTTAATCAAAGCATGATTATGTATACTGGAAAACACATTCAATTTCCAAGTTTCATTCTCCACACGGTATCTGCGCAATTCAAATGGACACTCACATTTTCTCAATCTCGTGTTATCTCGTTTTAACTTCATAATCTGTGGTTGGTACGTTCCACTTCTTTCACATCTCATTGTTATAAATTCATGCCTTCTATCCAAACCATTGTTGGACCTTCCAAATACATCACAAAACCTCAATTTCCCGACCTCCATGCAGACCCATTATAACATATGTTCATGAATAATAAACTCTTATTTATTCGTAAATTGTGCGCGAATATATACCTCAACAACGACGGGTTGAACACCCGGTTTAACATCATCGTTCACTTCATACGGTTTAACATCATGCTTCACTTCAACATGTTTAACATCCACCTGTTAGCTCCCAAATTCGACACTGCCTTGGGTTGCTAAACATTAAGGCATAATTAATGTCTAAATAAAATGAAGCAAAGAGGTTTCGACAGCCTCTAAGGAATCTTCTAAGCTAAACGGTTGAAATAACTTAGAAAAATTAAGAAACCTAAAGTTATGAGCATTTCGACCGTGTCAGAGGTAGTTCGACCGAAATTCTGTAGGAGGATTGCTACGTCGTTTTGAAATTCAAAGTTTGGAGGAAGCGGTTCTGTTCATAAGACACGTGGCGAGTTCTAGAGCAGGAAGTTACATGCAATTGAAACTTGTTAGATCGAGGAGATACTAGGAAGTTATTAGCAGTTAATTATTAGCATTATAAATAGGGATTTGTTAGACAAATTTCTGGGTGTTTTACCATTTGTACAAAGTAACTCCAATCAAATTTACTCAAAGTACCCGAGTGTGAGAAAAGAGTATTTTCACGGAGAATGTACGTTATGTAAAATCACC